GCTGCGGGAGGAGACCGACATGATCGGCCGGTGTCTCTCCTCCCACACCGCTCAGCCGCCTATCACAGCCCGACAGAGCAGTGTGGGGGCGGAGACAGCCCACGCTGTCACAGGAGGCTGAGCTCTCCTCTGTGCACTGCTCGCTCAGCCTTTTGTGACAGCGTGTCAGAGAGGTCAGCAGGCTACATGCACTCAGCAATCAGTGATCGGAGTGTTTGTAGATAATTGAGGATATGGTATGGTTACTGTATCCTCAATTATGAATGAATGGGAAACCCATTTCCCGGGCAGCGGAACAGCCCCGGTCATATGGGCTCAGTACTCTCTCCCCGGCCGGGAGAACAGATTCTCCTCCGGTGACCACGTACATTTTCATACGCAGTACTAACCTTGCTCACGGGGTTCAGACATCAGTGCTGCACTGAGACGCTCTGATTGGACGAGGCACGCCACAGGAGGCTTGGCGCCTGCGACGTGACGTCAGCAGGAAGCCTGTCCTCCCAGTGAAGCCGCCACGAGCTCAGGTAGGGTGGAGCAACGTGGCCGCTGTGCGTGTGCGGTACCTGTCGCGCGGCGGGGAAGTGACGCGGCGAGCTGCAAGCAGTCAAACTAATTGATGATGGAAAACGTTTTCCATCATCGATTAAAATCGACTTAGTCGATTCATTGTTGCAGCTCTCATAGGAACATTTGACATTTTGCTGCTAATGAGGCAGAAATCTTTGAGGGTTTACAAAGAAATCCAGTATGTTCATATAGTATACTGTTATATATTGTCTACAACATTTGTGGCAGAAACACATTTCGTTCACAGTCAAACCTATTAATTTTGTGCTCCCATATAATGAAATATAACATTGCTACAAAGGCAAAGTGTACTGAAAGGAATTTTTTTGTTCTGTCTTGGAGTGGTAAATAAGGGGGGTCGCTCTCTATTTGTTCCTGCCCCTGTCTCTATTGTCACTGAAACTAAAAGCGATGTACAATCCAAAATTTTGAGTTGTCACGATAACAGGAAAGTGAAAGCTTCCATCGGAGTAATTTTTTGTTGTTGGCTGTAACAAAGAGGACATACCTCACTTTGGAAACACTTCCTTTCTCTTCCTGCTGTGTCTAGAGGACAAAAAGTGAGGGTAAATCTCCCCCATTGGACACAGAAAAAGAAAGAAAAACAATCCCAGGGGTTTAACTATGCCCTACTCTAACCAAAGTACAAAAAGGTTTGGCTTTAGATATACTTTAATCGCATATAAAAACATGGAGTAATCTGCATAAAAGTAACATTTTATTCTAAAAGAAATCTAGCATTGCTCTCTGGTTCTTCCTCTTCCATCACTTTGCTTACATAATTTTATAAACTTGGCCAACAGAGAATTGAATATGTGATTTCAGCTGTTTCTCTTGTCTGCCATAAAGGAAAACTACTATAGGGTGTTTTCAGGAAGCACATATCTTGAGTTATTGCTGCAGAATAAAAACAAATCCTGGTTTTACTCTTAATTGGCACTAAAAAAAAAAGGTGCTTACAATATGAGATGAATATACAGATGCTCCTCAGGTTAAAATCGTTTGGTTTGCGATGGTATAAAAAAGGAGCAGCAGGTCCCTCACAGGGTCCTCAGTCTGTCATGAGGTCGCTAGTATATACAGCCTAGCCTACCTTAAACTTGGCTAAAACACATACATTAAGCTACAGATGGGCAAAGGCCCACTGTATTGTATAAGAAAGTGTTGAATATCTCATGTATAAAAACCTCCCCGTTTTGCGATATGATCGCTTTACGGTGGGTTTATTGGAACGTAACGCCATCGTATACCGAGGAGTGTTTGTACACATCCAAAACAAGATCATGAACGAAAGTTTTCAGTTCTTCTTTGTTACTATACTCCCCTTCCATGTGTACAAGATAAGACGTGTCCTCCACCTCAAATGAAATACAGACTTACCAGAAACGTAGGCCTCCGGCATTCACAGGGGTCAGTTTGTGCTTTGGTCCATCAGTCCTGTGAAGGAACAGTCCAGTATAACACCTCATCAGTTAGCATATTTCTAAATGCTGCTTAAAAGGAGAACTATAGGGTAAGTGCTTTTCCCCATAGTCCTCCCCAGGGTCACGAGAGGACACAAACTAGCGTCCTCCCGTGACCCAAAGCTCAGTATACCGCAAGCCATAGACCCCCGCAGCCGGGGCGGATCCCGACATTACTGTCTGGATCCACCCAGCTGCGTGATTGACAGCTGGTTCTGCCTATCTAGAGGCAGAACCAGCTGTATCCGCCCCCTCCCCCGTCCGTTCCGCCAGTCAGCTCTTGGACAGGGGAGGGGGGGAATCCCTGCAGGGAGCCGTGAGTGACAGTCACGGCTCTCTGCAGGGGCAGGATCGAGAAGTGAGCAAGCGACAGTATGTGTTCGCTCACTTCCCGATCTATTGAGCCGACGTGTGACAGTTTCATTGTCACACGTCGGCTCGAACTATGAGGCTGAGTGATTTTCACTCCTCATTGTTCTCCTTTAAAGGGACATTAAAGGCTTTGTTTCCCCCCCCCCCCCCATGCTGCTGTAAGTACTTACCTTATTTGATGCCTCTTGTGTCCCACGGAGTCTGTCCGGCGTTTGCGCGCCCGAGTGCGTCCATTCACTGTTATTGTGTTTTCTCCCCCTCCGCTCTTCAGCTGGGAGCGAGCGGCACTGGGACAGGTATGCAATTAGGTATTTGACTACTTTTTTTATTTTTATTTTTTAAATCATGGGGCATAGATATTACTGCTTGTTAGCAGTAGATATATGCCAAAAAAGGAAAGGCTTTAATTCTACTTTAAGCTCCGACTGGATCTATGTACACCAAGGTGCGGGTAATTGCCAATATGTAAAGTTTTTTGGGGCGTGACTTGACTTAAATCGTATTTCCACTTTTGCAGTCAAATTTGAGAAAACCCCTCTATATGTTTGTTATGTGTTCCTATGCACACAGCATAACAAAAAATAATTAAAAATAAAACACATTTCTTACGTTTTAGATGCAGCAGGGAACATGGCTGGATTGAGGTTTTTCTGAGCACCTTCACAGTGATCTGTTCTTATAGAAAGTCTTAGGACTGAATTTTTCTTTAACTTTAACTTTCTTTAACTTCATTAACATACAATGCAAACACCTCACTCTCCTAACATTACAAAGAGGATAAGCCAGGTAGAAACTTTAACCCTTGAGAAGCCAAGAAACCCTATCCGAAGACAAATCAATTTGAAAGTAAGAAGCATTTTTTTTTTAGTTTATGCTATGTGAATGGGAACATGTAACATATATAAAATAGGTGTTATCCCAGTTTGGCTGCAAAAGTGGAAATACACATTAATGTTAAATGGTGTGACAGATCTCTTCTAGTGATGAGCCTGGGTTTGGTGAGTAAGGATGGGCCGAGTGTTCGAGCGCCGAACTTTATGGGATGTTCGCGGTCTGTTCGACCGCGTACATTCCATAATACAAAATGCCCACTGAAGCTCTGATTGGGCAAAGTCTTGCACCTGACCACAGGTCAGGTGCAAGACTTTGCCCAATCAGGGCTTAGCGGAGGAGGGGCCTGAAGGAGAAAGTTCTCTTCAGGTCCCCCCATGCTGATTGACAGCAGGCTGATGCAATAGCCAGCTTGCTATTGGCTATTGCATTTTACAATATCCAATAGCAGGCTGGGTATGGCTCCCAGCATGCAGACGAAGTGGAGGCAGGGGGGCGGGGCAGAGGAGCTGCGGCCGGACTGAAGGAGAGAAGCCGACGGACACCCCAGCTCTGAATGAAACCCTATTAGGTGGAGGCTATGTGAGAGACAGCATGCCATTTTGTCAATAATAGATATTCCCAACTTTATGACATTGGGATCCACATTTTGTTGGTACCATTTTAAAAGTTTAGGAAGTTTTTACATTTTTAATAAGCTGATTTGAATGATTATTGTGCCATCTGTGGTTGTATATTTTGAATGTAACCATGTTTTTGCAAGCAATATCATTATCCCAGGGTGCACTACTGTGATTAACTGCTGAAGATACAGATGATCCCTTACAAGGAGGTCTGATTTACCAAAGTGTGAGTTGACCTCTGTGAATGCCTCGAGGTCTACCTTTGTGGTGTGGAGGACACTTTCTGGTATGTCTGTAATTCCTCTAAGGGGGAGGATACATCTCATTTTTTACACCTGGGTGGAGAGTGCACTAACAAAGAAGTGCTACAAGTTTTTGTTCATGAGCTTATTTCTGCAGTATTTAACTGTCTGCCCTTTTAGCAAGATTCCACTTTGCTTCCTGTCCCAGAGACACAATAGAGGGATTAATAGAAGATCTCTCCAAAGTGAGAGGAAATCTTGGGTGTCACCCGGCAGGTGACCCTATTGGAAAACGTCCTCTCTATGTTCTGGTAATTACCGTAAAATGTCGGATTTCCTATCACTTTATGTCCCAATATCAATAGAGATGGGGGATCTCCCCAGCAGGGGCACAGACAGCAATAAAAAAAAAAACTATTATTCTTCATTAGCAATAAAAACATGAAAGAGGTTTTCGGCACTTTCATACGTTATTGAAAAAGACCATGTTTTGGCTTTAGATATATTTTAAAGTTGTTTTTTTCTCCTGTTTCTTTTGGCATTCACATTTTCAAATGCTTGGGGAGCATGCTTAACTTGGGGAGCAAGCATTCAGTCTCCCTGATTATTAAATGTTGAGCTAAGCGATCAATCTCACAGGGAGTGCATTGTTTTTATTTAGTCATCCAATATGCAGATTACATTATGAGGGGAGCAGAAAACGACAACTATTGTGTGGAACTGGAAACCAGTAATCCGAACTTGCATACGTAGTTAGCAAATATTGTCTCCATTTACATATTCTGTATTATATTTAAAAGTTGTTCAGAAAAGCAAGAGAGACAGTAAGGTCAGCAATGCTGTCTCCTTGCTTCCTCGTTTTTGTTGTAGAATAAAGTAGATTTTCCATTGGAAGGACTTACCACAGCTAGCAAATCTGCTGGGGGCAGCAGAGGATTGTTTCTGTCGCATTGCTTCTTTCCTAAGTAAACCAGATAAAATACAGAAAATGAATAGGGTAAATCAGATGGACACATATTACCATAAGAATAATAGGCAGGAAAATAACTTTATAGCGGACCTTCACACATTAAAATAACTTTTTCACTCCTGTTTCCTCTCTCCTACACAATCAGTTTGGGAAATGTTTAATACATTTAATACCTTTTTTTTTCCGATGCTGCAGTCCCAAACTGCATGCTTTCTTGCCTAGGTGGCGTAGGGACCCCCAATGGCTCCTGGGATGTCCACAGCAGACACCTTAGGAGGCAGTGTTTTGCTGAGGGGCACATGTGCATTGTGAGATCTGCAGAGGTGCAGAAATGACTCTGGCTACCTCCCAGGTATTTGGGAACTGGCAGAGGCCTACAGCATGTCTGTGCATGCGCAGGGGATACTAAAAACCAGTGGAATCCCTTGCGCATGTGCAGATTTGCTGCATGCCTCGGCCAGGTCCCAAAATCCTATGAGAGACTTGTGGCACATCTGGGCATGTGCAGGATATTTCAAGATGGCAGCACAGAATAGGAACGGTGGGAAGAAAATTTCGGTGAAGTTCCACTTTACCTGGGCCCAGCCCAACCTGGTAGCGGCACACATGCAGTTCTTTAAAGTAAGACAATCTGGACCCATTTGCATGGTTGGAAAATTTGTATGTCAATAACAAGTGGCTGAGACTGCCAGTCTAAGTTCTACTTACCATCTTCTAGCCTAGCACAAAAAGGCCTGATAATCACTAGTGATGCTGGAAATTACCATCTTTCATTGAGCTGTCTCTGACTGGCATTCTCTACTTTAGAGATTGCAAAATGTTTTTTTTCCCCTGTTTATATACTTCAGAATAGTCATTTTCCTCTCTCTTGTGATGTTATATTTTTGTTCATGCTGGTTTGATAATGACCCTGCGTAAAATAGGATTTTTTTAACTCACTATAAAATCCTCTTTTTGGAATCCACTGATGGACACCAAAGGTTCTGTTGCTGATTTAAGTGAAAGTTCTCCAAGATCATGATGTGAGATAGGGTTAGATAGTCAGGTGTCCCTCCTATGGAAATGTCGTTTTTGTGACATCCAGGGAATTGTGGTAAACCAACTTCCCTGTTCCCCTGCTTTGGAGTATATTTGCTTTATATTGCTATAAAGAATCCACTAGGATGTCAGTGAAACTTTTGTTAGTCACTAGTGAATGTACTGTACACCAGAGAAAGCTCAGCTCGGAGCAATACCTTAGTTGCCACGGGAACAGGAAGTTAGGGGAAAGCAGAAACAAACCAGCTGGAAGATCCAATGGAGGATCCACTTTAAATTCAGGACCCTGACTAAATCAGATTAATCATGGAATCTCCATAAATTGTACTTGTCAGAAATTAAAAGGATTTGTTGACAACCCTTGTTGCAAACAATGCCAGGTTTGTGCTAAACAATACAGTTGGGATGTTAAACTTGTAAACAATGTTTCCTTATTTATCCCTTGTGCCTCCCCGAGTACATAGCTGTTTTGTTTATGTATTGTTTGGCTGAGCTAGTTTAGAACAACACTTGGGTAATGCAAAAAATTAACTGTATATTTAATTTGGGCAAACTGTGAATCCATATCACCACAAAATAAATGACACTCTAAGGTCACTCAAAGATATCAAATATTAGTCTAAAGTAAAAGACCGGTGTGATATGACAGAAAGAAAAATCTCTTGTAAAACAATCCTTAAGATGGCTGCACTACGTACATTGTGACAATCACCTTTGGGTTTAAAAAAACGATGAGATCAAAAATATTTTTGAAAATTGAAGGAATTTGTTCTTTATGTGACACAGTTATTATGTTTTTGCACGTTTATGATTCCATCTTGAATTAGTCAGTTGCTTACCAATTGCATGGGTATTTGCAGTACCTGTGGGCATTCTTTATATTATATGGCGTGTGTGTATTTTCTTAACAAACTACTTTTTTGTTACATAGAATTAGGCCTCATTTACACAGGGCGTGTTGCCTTGTACAGCGTGAAGGGGTGGTTTTTGATGCACCTGGAGCTGTAGGAAGGAGTGCGTGGGCAGTTTGAGTAACTCAATGGCAGGGGTAGCCAAACTCAGGCCCTCCAGCTGTGGTGGAACTACAAATCCCATTGCAAGATTCTCACAGCCACAGACATGACTCCATGGGGAGAGATGCATCATGGGATTTGTAGTTTCACCACAGCCGGAGTTTGGCTACCCCTACTCTATGGAGTCACGGGAGCGGTGCCACCTCACATGCTACTTCCTGTTGTTCTGTATTCCTTACACAATCTGTTTGTGGCACACAGCTCCTGCGTCCCCTTAGACCCGGTTCACATGTAGCGACATACCTTTGCAGCGGCCGGGATAGCGCGACTTTCGGGGCGACGATCCAGCGACGGTAGCGCGACCTTCTCCGTCGGGCTCCATAGAAAAAAAGCAAAATCCGCCGAAAAAAGGGTCCGGTAGAAGCGACTTGCGACCGCGACGAGCGACATGGAGTTAAGACAGCTCCATTGAATAGCATTGGCCGGCGACTTCTCGCGATATCGCGCGGCAAAAATGCACGAGTTACACAAGCTGCCCACACGCACACTTCTTCCTGCAGCTTCAGGCACATCAAAACTGTCCCATTACACTGTACGGGGCAACATGCCTCATGAAAATGAGGCCTATATGTTTATAAAGTGAATAAACAACAACAGCCACGCTAGGAGTACTAAACGTGTTCATAAAAATAGACTAGCTGCAACAATGTCTGGTGATAAGCCCGTGTATAATAGTACTGTTATGTTGCGCTCGGTCTTATGTGTAACTAAATTTTCCTTATATTAAGGAGTGAATATCAACATCATATCGCTACAACATTAACAAATCTTAGGGTGACAGATTGTGTTCTATTTTGATAGATTCTGTGTAGCGATCTATTAAACTTTGTGCACTTTAAATCCTATGTGACCACATCAACTTCTCTATTGGTTGTGCATAAATAAAAATGTTTATAAAGTGATCTTCTGCATATTCTTCCATACAAAAGACCAACTGTCCAATGAAATTCCTACAACCCTACTGAGTGCTGTCTTTATGTCTTTGCAGCCTAACTTTCAATGAAAGTGGGTCTCTGCTTCAGACCAACTCAATGCAGTACCACAAAGACTTCCTAAATACTACATTCGTAACCTATAGTGGAGTCCAACTATCATATACCGTATGTTGAATTAGGAGAACAAGTGTATTGAATCAGATATTTACCCAGCCGCTAAAGATCTATACCCAGTCGGTAAATTTTGAAAGTTGTTTTCAGTCTTTTTAAATCTGCAGATAATCCTGCCATGAAGGATTACCTTCCAGTAGCTCGCGGTATACTGAGACGCTGAAGCGGATCCCGACAATTGTGCCGGGATCCGCCCAGCTGCGTGACTGACAGCTGGCTCTGCCTATCTAAAGGCAGAGCCAGCTGTACCCGCCCCCTCCCCCGTCCGTTCCGCCAGTCAACGCTGGCGGAGCGGGGAATCCAGCCCCTCCCATGTCACGACAGAGAGCCGTGACAGGATCGAGAGGTGAACGAATGCCGGTATGTGTTCGCTCACCTCCCGAAATCAAGCTTAGGTTTACATTTACTTTCATCAATAAACTGCAATAACCAGGGCCGGATTTCCCACAAGGCCAAATGAGGCCCGGCCTCGGGGCAGCAGGGGTGTGGAATTCCTACCTCTCGACGCCCGGGACATGCAGTTCCAGGGCGCGGGGCGTGTAGTGGTTTTCTACATTTAGCCCTGCTTTGGCGCATTGAGGAGCCTGGCATTGGGGCAGCAGAGAGAGTAAATCCGACCGTGGCAATAACAGTTTTCAGCTCCTGGTGTGAGCAGGTTAGGGAGAATCTTCCTGTATTTACACTGGGGCATGTTAAGCAGAGGACCACCTTTATATTTAAATGAAAAATTATATTTAAATAAAAAAGCCTCTTAAAGAATATCTAAACCCAAGAACAGAAACAGAAATTATATGCTGACCAGAGCTGACCATTCTCTAGGTGTCCCTGATGATCCTGCCAGTAACATACTTGCTGCTCTGGGGTGACAACACTCACTGTACTGTATCTATGCTGAGGCAGTGTTGTCACCCTAGGGCAGGAAATGTGATAGGACTAAAGAACACCCCCTCTCCTCTTTTCCATTGTATGGGGTGGCATATTTTGTAGCCCGCAAAGGTGAACTGGGCAGAAAAACATTGCAGAGTTCACAGGACAGCTCTGGATTTCTGGCAGGCTATTTGCTCGAAACATTCTTATTGTTAATATTTTTCACCAAAAAAAATCAATTTGAGTGTATTTGTTTTGCTAAAAATACAGATTCGATCAACAGTGTGTGCAAATAATGTGTAACATAAAAAAATGCAACTTCCAATCTTTGTATCCCATCAGTTCTCTGTTTTTTTTTAGACAATATAAAATATGCTGGGAGTTTTACGTATTTTACCATCAAAAATGTGCGTTTTAGCATGTATGTAAAAAAACTGGCCCAGCAGTACAGCTGTCATAGAGGCTGCCATTGCTGCCTTTCATTCGAAAATGTAAGTTGCCTGGCTGTATCCCAACAGTAAATGAGTGTCAGAAAAGTGTCAGTTTCCTTTGTATGCAAACGTTTATGCGTTTGTTTACGCTTCTGGGATCGCAGCCATATTTCTAGATTTTTTTATGCATTCAAAAATGCCCCAAAACAGTTATAATGAAAAAAAGTCTAGGTTAAATCTGACATACTATGGGGTCTAGTTATCAGTTTCCACTTAAAGTGACACTAAACTCAGGAATGAAATTTAAAAATTGCATTCAGGTACCTCAGCTATTAACAATACTGTAGCTTATTTGTGTATCACTCAGATGTAGATCCTCAAATCATCTCTGAATTTGTGCTGACACTGTCCTTCCTTCTGGAAGGTGGCTACTTTTGTTCCCTATGGCCCCTGTTTGTGTTGTAAA